CACAGCAGCAGGGATCATCCAGTGGGGCAGGAATGCCATCCCAAACCAAACCAACAGCAGGGATCATCCAGTTGGAGCTGAGAATTCCATCCCAAACTGGGATCATCCAGTGGGGCAGGGGATTCCATCCCAAACCTCCCACAGCAGCAGGGATCATCCAGTGGGGCAGGGAATTCCATCCCAAACCTCCCACAGCAGCAGGGATCATCCAGTGGGAGCTGAGAATTCCATCCCAAACCAAACCAACAGCAGGGATCATCCAGTGGGGCAGGAATGCCATCCTCTCTGGCCCCTTTTCTCACAGGTTTGAGGAGAATTTGAAAACTTTCCAAGAATTTACGCAGTTCTATTCCATCCACAATCCAGGGCTCCTCTCTCCTGTTGCCTGGTGTGATAGCTGCACATGGGTTTTTTAATCCAGGGTTTTGATGGGGTTTCCATCTCCTGGAGACCTCCCTGGGTCTGACTGGTCTGTGTGGCAGCTCCCACTGCTGCCAGTTGTGATTTTGGAAGTCATTCCCAACCAGAGGAAATTTTCCTTGCTGTGTTTATTGCCAATACCTAAAATCCCACAACTGATGAGGATTTGGAGCTGCCTTCTCTTGCTGTCCCTGTTGCTTTTTGTCATTTGTCTTTTCTGCAGTGGGAAGAGCTTTCATGTCCCACTTTTTCCAGACCCAAATCTTTGAGGAGTGATGCTGGAGTGTTAATGACCCATTGAGTGCAGATTCGTGTTCAAAATCCAAATAATCCTCAAAATCCCAGGCTGTTTCCAGTCCTTTTAATCCCCTCCAGACTCACATTGGCAATATCTCAACTGAATGTGGGGTTTTTTTTCCCTCTTTAAAGGAGCCAAATTTACTGTGCTGACTTTCCAAGGCCATCTCCAGCCTCGGAGGTGAAAGAATGTGATTTGCAGAGGAACCATTCCTACGAGTGCACGTTCCAGCCCATTTTCCTGCTCTCTGGATACACCATGTGGATCGAGTTCAGGCACTCCCTGGGAATTCTGCAATCCTCCCCGACCTGTGTCATTCCAGCTGATGTGGGTAGGTTGAGATCCATGAATCTCTCTTCCCTTGCACCCCACTAAATGGTGTAGGTCAAGTACTTTTCCACAGATTTTAAATAAAAACATGTTTTAGTATTACCTTTAAAAAAAAAAAAAAAGGATTAAATGTTATTTCCATACATTTTCCTTGGCACAGGAGGAGATTTTTAAATAGAACATTCACTTTGGCATGTTTATTCCCTCTGCAGAAATGCAAGTGTTGTGCTGAAAAATGAAGCTTATTTTTAAGGTTTTGGTTATTTAATTTTTCAGGCTAATTTGTCTTCAATTAATTGAGTTTATACTCCAGTGCAGTGTATTATTTATGCAGTTATATATTAATTTAAATTCATGGAGACTGTCCATCCTCTTTCATAATGGTGCAAAGTTTTGTGACACACAGAGTGCTTAAATTTTTATTTAAAAAAAGGGGCAAAAGCAGTATTTATTTGAATGTTTCCAAAAACTCCAAAATGTGCAAATCACCTCTCCTTATCTGCTCTGTGACAGAGCYTTCCCTGGCTATTTTTTGGACACAAATGTGAACATGTGTGAGAGCAAACAAAGCAGCTGGACCCCAGAGCTGCTGCATGAAATAAATTAGAGTGATATAAATATAGAATACATTTATTATGTGGTGACAGTGAATAGAATGATTTATCCTGGGTGCAGTGTGTTCTGATTCATAGTAAACCAAAACCCCTTCCAGCACCACCCAAACTGAAAAATTGATTTATTTTTTGTTGTTGTTTTCTCCTCATTCACMTCTGCTTATCCAAAACAAGTTTATTCCAGCTTGGCTTGGTTTACAAACAAAGGTTCTGGGAGATTCCTGATTGTTCTGCTGGRGAAGCTGGATTTGGAGGCAATTTCCAATTAATCAAAGGAAAACATTGTGCAGTGATTAATGGAAATGTCTGTCACCAGCCTTTACAGGAGCTGCTGCTTTCTGCAGGGGTGATCCCATTATAAAAATGGAATAATGGAATTCCTAAGGTTGGAAAAGCCCTTKRAGACCATKGAAYCCAACCATTSCCAGGTGCCAAGGCCACCAGTGCCCCATGTCCCCCAGTGCCACATCCACATGGATTTGAGATCCYTGCAGGAATGGGGACTCCACCCTGCCCTGGGCAGCAGTTCCCAYGCCTGACCCCCCTTTCCATGSAGAAATTTCCCCAAATATCCAACTGAAACCTCTCAATTTATTGCCAGGYTCTGTCTTTTGCTCTTTATCCTGGGGCAGGTACTAAGTGCCAGCTCCAAGATATCCTGGTAAGCTTTAAATGGAAAGAAAATGTTGGAAACATTGCCATGGGTTGTGTTTTTCTGCTTTCCTTGCAATAGCAGAGGCCACAGCGTGTTCCCTGCCACCCTCAGGACAAGGAGAAGCAATCCCTGATCTGATTTCATGGCAAGTGGCAGTGCAGATATTGCAGCAGTTTTTCAATRTTCCCATTTTCCAGTGAAGCCTCTCCCTCCTTCCAGCGTGGGAGCAGAACTCACCAGGAATTCTGGGCTGCTCAACGTCAGCTGGACACGGCCYGTGTTTGCCAGCAGGGATCTGACATTCCAGATCCGCTACAGGGAGCACAGGGAGCAGATCCCATGGCAGGTATGTGCCCATGGATTGGGGCAGGGATCCCTGCACTGCTGTCCTGTAGAGCTGGCTTTATGGGATTTATCCATAGTGCCTGTTCCCATCTGAATTGGTGCAGGGATACCTGCACTGCTGTCCTGTTTTATGGGATTTATCCGTGCTGTCTGTTCACAGAGGGATCAGAACAGGGATCTCTGCACTGTCCTGTGGAGCTGGGTTTATGGGATTTATCCATGGTCTGTTCCCATCTCTATCGGAGCAGGGATCCCTGCACTGCTGTCCTGTAGAGCTGGCTTTATGGGATTTATCCATGGTGTCTGTTCCCATCTGGATTGGGGCAGGGATTCCTGCACTGTCCTGTGCTGTGGAGCTGGGTTTATGGGATTTATGCATAGTGCCTGTTCCCATCTGAATTGGTGCAGGGATACCTGCACTGCTGTCCTGTTTTATGGGATTTATCCGTGCTGTCTGTTCACAGAGGGATCAGAACAGGGATCTCTGCACTGTCCTGTGGAGCTGGGTTTATGGGATTTATCCATGGTGTCTGTTCCCATCTCTGTCGGAGCAGGGATCCCAGCACTGCTGTCCTGTTTTATGGGATTTATCCATGCTGTTTCCAGCTGCACTGGAGCAGGGATCCCTGCATTGTCCTGTAGTGCAGTACTGAGTTTATGGGATTTATCCATGGAGGTAATCACAGGTACAAACATTTGCAGTGCCTAGCAAAGGAATATTCCTCATAACCCCACTTCCTCATTGGGATAATTTTCAGGAATTTTGACTACAAATATCCCTTTGCTCTCACTGAGTTTTTTGCATTCTGTCCCAGCTTTATGAGGCCTCAGCCTCCACAGGCAGCTCGGCTGTGATCCCTTTGCTCTCACTCTGAATTTTTTGCCTCCTGTCCCAGCTTTTTGAGGTGCCAGCCTCCTCAGRCAGCTCAGTTGTGATCCCTTTGCTCACTCTCAATTTTTTGCCTCCTGTCCCAGCTTTTTGAGGTGCCAGCCTCCTCAGACAGCTCAGTTGTGATCCCTTTGCTCACTCTCAATTTTTTGCCTCCTGTCCCAGCTTTATGAGGTCCCAGGCTCCGCAGGCAGCTCAGCTGTGATCCCTTTGCTCTCACTGAGTTTTTTGCCTCCTGTCCCAGCTTTTTGAGGTGCCAGGCTCCTCAGGCAGCTCGGCTGTGATCCCTTTGCTCTCACTGAGTTTTTTGCTTCCTGTCCCAGCTTTATGAAGTCCCAGGCTCCTCAGGCAGCTCGGCTGTGATCCAGGTGGAGCAGCTCTGTGTGGAGTACGTGGTGCAGGTGCGGTGCCGGGAATTGGAGGGGTCTGGATTCTGGAGCGACTGGAGCAGAGTTGCCCAAACCCTCGTACGGGACATCAGAGGTCTGTGCTTGCAGGGACACCCTGAGGGCTGGGCTTTTCCAGACTGTTTCCTGCCCTTCCCAAATTGTTGTTTTGCAGCTCCCTTGCAAGGCCCGGAATTTTGGAGAATCGTTTCGGAGGATCCAGCAAGGAAGCAGAGGAATGTGACGCTGGTGTGGAAGGTGGGAGCAGCTGCACTTTGGGTTTTCCCTTTGATCCTAAAACCAGGTGGGGTTTTCCTCCTTCCTGGGAGTCTGACTGGCACATCAGGCACSYTCAGGCAGTCCCTGTGTGTGGGAAYTGGGATTTGCTTTCTGTGTTCCTGACAATTGCTTGGCTCATGCCAGAGGCAGGAGGTGAATCCTGGTGGGAATGCTGGGATGAAATGGGAGCTAGTTTTGGCTTTGTTGTGATGAAAGGTTCATGCACGACAGGAAAAAGCCCCTCAGTGCCTGCTCACTGCTGTGAGCCTGTGTTCAGTGGGCAAACAGCTGCTTTGGGGTTTGAGCTTGAGAAATGGGTAAAACAGGGAACTCCTGTGGGGAGCAGAGTTTGGCTTTCCTTGTCCTGTGCCTTCACTTTGCTGGGAGAGAGGGAATGAGGGTCAGCTCTTCAAGAGGGACACAGGGAATGAAGCCTTTCAAAGGAATCCAATCTTAGCTAAAAACCAGAATATCTTCATTGGTCCTGTTTGCTTGAAGTCCAAGCTGCCCAAACCACCTTTGCTTTGGGGAGCAGGGAGTGGGGATGAATTCAGGAATTAACATCTGTGTTTGCTGCAGCCCCTGATGGAGAAGCAGTCCCTGTGCAGCGTGAGCAGGTACATCATCCAGCACCAGACCCCAGGCAGCTCCTCCTGGCAGGAATTTGTGGAGCATGGCACCTCCTGGTCCTTTCCCTGGACTGAGCCAACACACACCGTCACCATCCTAGCCATGAATTCCCTTGGAGTTTCTGCAGTTAATTCCAATTTAACTCTGTCCCAGCAAATGAGCACAGGTAAGAGCAGCCATGAGTGGGATGTGGGAATCCTGTTCAGAATCCTTGTGGTGTTCATGGGGAAGGATTTCTTTGGGATTAAATTCCCTCTGGCAGAGTAAGGAATGTTTTATGGGGACACATTAATCACTGACAGAGCTGCTGGAAAACTGAAATTTCCATTGTGTGAAAATCCTGATGATCTTTGGGTTGGGAAACGAGTTGTYTGTCACTGGGCTGTCTTCCCTCCAYTAATAAAATAAAAGTAATTAATYGAAGAAAAATCAAATCCTCCTGGWGAAMCAATCTTTCATCYAYTCCATTTGGGAGCACCCAACATTCCTGCTGGGGAATGTGTTGATATTTCCAAAATGAAATGTGTTCATATTTTGGGCTGCCAGCGTACAAAGTCCTGAGAATTCCTGAACAATCAATTCCTGGATTTGGCTGCACTCCTCTGTTTCATTTTTTCTGGACAATTCAGGAGTTTTTAATGTTTTGGTTATGGGTGATTAAGGGATTGCAGGTGAGAATTGGGATATTTGAACTTTGCTGGCTGGAAGAGAAATCCCTCTGCTTGTGGGAGCTAAAGCTCAGGCTTTATCATACAGAAGATATGAAACAAGTGATAAAATATGAAATTTCAGCATCATGTGGTTGGGAGGATGTGGATCCCAGTGTTTTCCCTGTTTTCCCAGTGGATGCTGTGCAATCCCTGAGTGCTTACCTGGTGAACAGCACCTGTGTGGTTGTGGTTTGGACTCTGTCCCCCCTAATCCACGGGGTGACATCCTTTGTGATTGAGTGGAAGAACCTGAACAAAGAGGAGCAGATGAAATGGGTGCGAGTTCCTCCAAACCTCAGTAAATATTTTATTTATGGTGAGTGTGTGTGCTTGAGAATGCAATTCGTGATGTTAATTGATGTGGAACAGAGAAATGCAGAATTTCTGACCTCCAAATCCTTTCCTCCCTCTCGATTTCTAATGACTTTCRTTGTAAGGATCAATAAACCAAATTTTGATGCTCATTAAAGGATTGACTTTAATTGCATTAATGATCAGTTCAACAGAGAGGGAAGCTCTGGAGTGAGCCCATTTTGTGGCAATACAATAAAATTTGTTCTGGAACATTGACCACACAGCTAATTATTTAAATTAATACATGCATTTCCTCTGCATTTGGACTTTACTCATAGCAATTATTGCAGTAGTTCCATGAAGTGTTAATTCCATGGCAGGATAATGCTGGATTAATAGTTTTAATCTTGGGATATTGAAGGAGGGATCTATAACAGGAGGATCCATTATTGCCCTCTCTGGGCTGATCTGACTCTGGTGYGTGATCAGAGCCTGTGGGGAGGGAATTGTTTGAACATTGGTAACAGTGGATTGCAAAGGCTSATTTCCCTTTCCAGATCACTTTATCCTGATTGAGAAGTACCAGTTCAGCCTGTACCCTGTGTTTGCTGCAGGAGTTGGCAAAGCCAGAGCCACGGAGCAGTTTGCCAAAGGTGACTGACAGCATCTTTTTCTGTGTTTTTTGTGAAGTAAAAGTGACCTTTAAGTGCAAAAGTCTCTGTCTTACCAGAAAAAAATGGAGCAATAAAGTAACTGTAATGTACCTGCAAACAGATCTCAGCTTTCATTTAAAAACTCTCTGTGGGCTGAGCTGAGTGAGGGATTAAATTCCTATTTAAAATAATTCCTTTTTGTCTATTCATTCCCAAGGGAAAGGTTTGTTCATGTGCAATGGAACTGTTGATCAGGGTTATTTCCCCATCTAAGCTCTTGTTTCTGCTGTTTGTTATTTCCCTGTTGCAAGCTRTTTGCTCACAGACAAATGATTTGGCTGCATTAATGCCTGAGCTCYTTTATTTCCAGGTGGATTTGAAGCTGGGGATCCTGGCAGTCTCCACGTGGTGCTGCCAATTGTTTTTTCCAGCTCTGTTTTGTTGCTGGGAGYGCTGCTGCTTTCCCACCAAAGGTACCTCGGTCCTTGTTTTCCAAAATTTGGGGTGGTGCAGCCACTCTGCTGAACTGGTGTCACGGAGTCCCAGACTGGTTTGGGTTGGGAGGGACCTCAGAGCTCACCCAGTGCCACCCCAGGGTCACCTCCCACCATCCCAGGGTGCCCCAACCCAGCCTTGGGCACTGCCAGGGATCCAGGGGCACCACAGCAAATCTGGGAAATCCATCCCAGCCCCTCCCCACCCTCCCAGGGAACAATTCCTTCCCAATATCCCACCTAAATCTCCCCTTTTCCACCTTAAAGCCATTCCCTGTGTCCTGTCCCTCCATCCCTCATCCCCAGTCCCTCTCCAGCTCTCCTGGAGCCCCTTTAGGCCCTGTGGGTTGGGGTCATTCAGCACAGACTGTGCCATTTATATTTTCCCAAACTACCACCTGTAGTAGTATAAGAAATGTCCCTTCCTTATATTTTTTTTTTTAAATCAAACGTGGGCCATTTATCATCTCTCCAATGATGATTTSATGCTCACAGTGCTGGGAATGAATAAAATGGCAGCAATTCCTTCCCTGCACAGTGTAGCCCCTGTGAGAACAGCACCAACCCCAGCATTTCCCTGCCATTTCAGGATGAAGAAGCTGCTCTGGGAGGATGTTCCCAACCCCAAGAACTGCTCGTGGGCACAAGGAGTAAATTTCCAGCAGGTTTGTGTTTCTCTGGGGTGCTGCCTGCCCTGCCAGGGCTGTTCAGGGCAGTTTGTGCCCAGCTCTGTCCCTGTGACTCTGGTGCAATCCAGCCCCAGTGATTCCATGCAGARTTCCCATTTCCCAGCCCCCTGGATTATTCATTGCGTGTGATAAATAAATATCTGCCAGCTCAAACGGGTGAGTGGCAGAGGTGACAGATGGTGGCCTTTGCCAGCACCAGCCCCGTCCCCGAGGGGGATGGGCTCCATCTCTGTGTTTGCTGCGGTGTCCCTGGAGCAGGGCAGGGGGAAAGGATCCCAAAATCTCCAGTAGGGACAAAGCAGGAGAGTGAGGAGGAAAAGGGCTGGGCTGAGGGAAGGGATCCCAAAATCTCCAGCAGGGATAAACCAGGAGAGTGAGGAGGAAAAGGGCTGGGCTGAGGGAAGGGATCCCAAAATCTCCAGCAGGGACAAACTAGGAGAGTGAAGAGGAAAAGGGCTGGGCTGAGGGAAGGGATCCCAAAATCTCCAATAGGGATAAACCAGGAGAGTGAGGAGGAAAAGGGCTGGGCTGAGGGGAGGGATCCCAAAATCTCCAATAGGGACAAAACAGATGGATGAGGAGAAAAAGGGCTGAGGGAAGGATCCCAACATCTCCAATAGGGATAAACCAGGAGAGTGAGGAGGAAAAGGGCTGGGCTGAAGGAAAGGATCCAAACATTTCCAATAGGGATAAACCGGGAGAGTGAGGAGGAAAAGGGCTGGGCTGAGGGAAAGGATCCAAACATTTCCAATAGGGATAAACCAGGAGAGTGAGGAGGAAAAGGACTGGGCTGAGGGAATGGATCCCAAAATCTCCAGCAGCGACAAAACAGGAGAATGAGGAGGAAAAGAGCTGGGCCGAGATCCCAAAATCTCCGGCAGGGACAAACCAGGAGAGTGAGGAAAAAAAGGGCTGGGCTGAGGGAAGGGATCCCAACATCTCCAATAGGGACAAAACAGATGGATGAGGAGAAAAAGGGCTGAGGGAAGGGATCCCAGCATCTCCAATAGGAACAAATCAGATGAATGAGGAGCAAAAGTGCTTTTCTCATTGTTTAAAAGCTCCTTGTTAATTCTGGTGTGGGAAGGGGGGGATTTGTGTGGACAAATCCCAAATTCAGGGCTCAGGTGTCACCAACAGCAAGTCTGGGTTGAGTGGAGCCCAAGAGTTTTACTCGTTGCTCTAATTCCCACTACTCCAAGTATTTTGATGTTTTCCTCATTATTTTGGCAGCTTCCCTGCTGTAAAACCTGGTTTGTAAATGCACAGAAAAACAGGGTTTAATCTGTTTTGTTCTGAATTCATTAGGAAATACAAGGGAATGTTCCTTTGGAGCTCTTGTGTTGCTGTCAGTTCATCCTGCTGGGTAATTTACACCTGCATATATTAGGGAGCAGTAAAAACTGCATTTTTCCCAAATAAAGGGGTTTCTYTCACTCAGTTCAAACAAGCAGCTGTAATTCAGGTGGGAATTCTCCAAAAATCCTGTGGAAAAAGTGAATTTTACCTGGATAATCCAATCCTAGCAGGGAAGGTTACATCAGCTGGTGTATAAATGATTAAATCTGTCAAAAACATTTTGTTGTAGAGGATTTTCAACTATAAATTCTCAAAAAACAGTGTGTGAACTCAATGTGACAAAATTCCAGGATCCTTAGAGTGCCCTGGGAATGACCTTTGGTCTGTGGGGTTTTGTGATCCATAAATCCAGAGGCTGGATAGTGAAATTAAGCTCCATCATCAATGAGCATTAAAATTTCTCTTTCCTTCCAGCCTGAAGCTCTGGAGCATCTCTTTGCCAAACATCCCGAGCCCATGTCGTTTGAACCTCTTCTCCTGGAAGCAGAGATCGTGCTGGAAGACATCAGCATCACCAAAGCCTTGGAAAAAGAAGATCCAGGGGATTTTTTAGGAATGGATTCCACMTTTCCAACCCTCCAGGAGTCAGAATGTGACTCTGCATGCTTCCAAGGCAGCAGCTTTTCCAGGAGCTCCCAGGATGGGGAAAGCACAGCTCAGTGTGGTCTGAAATAYGCCACTGTCATCAGTAATTCCAGATCCAGCAGCCTTTGCAGGCAGGAAATGAATGCCAGGAGCTGTTTTGATCGGTGCTTCCTGGCTGAAGATCCCGTCGTTTTCGAGGCCTTTTCAAGCAGTGCCTGGGAGATGGGGAATGGAGCATTCCTGGTGCTCAGGGAGCCCAGCAGGGCTCTGTCCCTGATTTCCTCAGAGGGATTCTCTGAGGAGCCTTTGGGTGAGGTTTTCCCCGGCAGCACCGAGCGGAGCCTCTTTTACCTCGGGATCACAGCTCTGGGAAAGGGAGAGAGCGGCGTTTTCCTGGCAGGAACCTCCAAAGGGATGTGGCAGCTCCACAGCACAGATCTGCTCACAGAGAGGGGAATTCTCCAGCACTTCCCAGAAAAAAGCAAAGAGCTCACCCAAAGCAGCCTCCAGCCTAAAGCCACCGTGCCCTACGTGCCKCAGTTTGGGATGGCTGCAGCCAAGGGGCAGGAGGCCACGGAGAAAAACTGACAGCACCACCCCAAAATTAAATATTCCTGATGTTCCCCTGTTTTTCCTCTCATGATTTCTCCAGCTTGTTCTGGTTTTAGGTGTCACCTGGAGCCCCCAGGGGTGAGAGAGGAAGGAGTGAGCTGATCTCAAATATTCATGGGGGGAAAGCTGGATTTGCCTTGGGAATGGTTTGGGACACTGAGTCAGCCTGGATGTGCTTGGGAGGAGTGGATCAGACAGTGAAGGGCTCAGGGTGCTGCAGGAACWGGAAGAGAATCCACATCCCTGTGTCTCCATGAATTGGGTAAATGATTTATTGAAAGTAAAATATCCACATTTTCTTGCTGAACACGAGATTCCAAATGGTGCAATTATGAGACTGACATCTCTTCCCAACCTCTTTCCTACAATTCCGTGGTAGAAAAGACAGGAATTTGCTCCTGGGACCCTGAATTTTTGATCTTGGGGGATCCATCCTGTCTGTGTGGCCTTGGAGAAGTTGCTTTGCCTTCACAGCCCTGCCAGGAAGCCTCAGGTAGAGAAAAACCAGGTCTGTTTTTTTTCTGGGATAAGCAGGAAACAAACCCACTCCTAATTTGCAAGCCAAAGATTTTGTTTTTTTACTTCATAAATATTTTTCTACACCTGCCTTTTCAGAGATCTATTTTGAGGAGCTAAGAAGGATGAATTTATTGTGTATTCCGAAGAATAAATTTCTGTCAGACTTCAGAGAGGCAAAACCAAAAGAGTAAAACTGGCAATACCAAAGCAATGGGGAAATTTAAGCCCAGCTTAATACAGAAGAGCTCACTGCTGGTTTTTGTCAAGCTGCTGACCTGGYTTMTGTTTCTGGATGTGTTTGGATGTTYTGGTTTCCAAAATATTGTRTAGGGTGAGGAACTAAACCTGTTTAGTGTTRGGAACCCAAATTTGTCACTGTGATTGAAGACAAACCTGGGTTTGTGGGTTCCTGTAGCATTCCAGGGTAAAGCTGTTCAAAGGATTTAGGATTCCCTTCCTGCTGTTGGGAAGGGAGAGGAGAGCCCAATTCTCTGGAGAGTGGAATAATCCTTTGATGGAAGGGTCCAGAAAAATGCTTTGGTTGTGTTTGARGTTGATCTTTCTCAAGAAATAAAAAGCTGATGTTGGTTTTAACCTGCACAGTCCTTTCCTGGTGATTCCATAAGGACAGGGGGAGCATCAGCCATGGGAATGATCAGGGTGGAACCAGGGAAGCTTTTCCTGAGGATGTGAGGAAATCCAGGAGGATTTTCCTCAAAGGACACTGCCAGATTCCCAAAATCACCTCCTTTGGGAACCCAGCCCATCCTCCCACTGCCATCCCATATTTTTTCCTACTGATCAGGGCAGGTGGTGCTCCTCAGGAAAACAAATGGATCTCCTCTACAAAAATCCAGCAAATCTGAACTGCTTCAGCAGAAAGAGATTTTGGGTGTGATCAGTGTAGAACTGAGGG